TCTTATTTTGATTCAATTCTTGTTTTGAAAAAAATGTATAATGTCAAAGTAATTCAAGACACAAAAAAATAATATCCCAAAATAATACTAAGTTATTTCTTAATAAAGTGTAAATGTTTACTATATGAGATATTCCATAATCATCATATAATATTTTAATTATGTATCGAAGATTAATATTGGAAAAATCCTGATACGAAAGAGGATCGAAGTAATACTGATTTTCATAATTGGACATTTTCTCTTTTAATTCCCTTTGATTGTAACTGTGAAATACAATAATCGATTGTATTTCCAAGAACTTGGCAAGAAATCGGGATCGCTTATTTCAGAATCAAACACAAGAAATCTGCTTAAAAATTTAAAAGACATCGGTATTTTTACTGTATGCTGTAAGAAACTATAACTTTTGCTTATTGTTAGTTACAACTTTTCTATTTACTTGCAACACAAATTAACTTTTTTTTTATTTTAATTGCATTACCTTAATTTATCGAAACAAGACAACTTGGAGGATATCGCATTGTCAGCAAATCGATTTGCATCATGAGTGAATATCATGAGTAGCATTTATAATAATTGAGCGGTACGGTAATATCTACATTTCCGGAATTATTCGACAGAGAGATTATCAATTTTCTATTATATACATAATATTATTGAATTAATTATTACACTTAGCTAACGTTGTATTATTCTGCCGTATATTATATATATAAAATTATTTATATATTATATATATAAAATAACATAATTACATGATATTAATATAAATGTGATGTGTAAAAGAATTTAATTAATTAATTTTTTCGCGAGAAGATTTAAAATCATTTAAAAATTTTTTTAATATAGTGTATGTTGTGCATGTGTCTATTAATTCATTGTAATTTTCGCTATGTCACGTTTTGCTATAAGACGATCACTTTTAGAAGCAATCACCTTAATCGAATAGCGCTTAATCCGTTATTCGAATAGGTTTCTCACTGAAACTTCAGCCTCAGGTGTGGTGAAAGCAATGCTGACAAGGTTCGCACGGCTTCACTTTACCTTTCGCCTGCCTCGCGAATATCCAAGCTTACTGACATCGACCGATAAATTGTCGAACGAATACGAGAGAAAAGGAGGCGGATAATGGATTTTCTAAGGACATCGAATGATGAGGTAGAAGGAATTGAAGCTTCGGTTTGATTAACGTTGCCCTTTCGACGTGCACTGTAACTTTATCCCCAATAAGAAGATAATCATCAACACTCGGAAAAAGTCACGTCTGTTTTGCCAGATTAATATTAGAATTAATATTACTGGCATGAAGCTTGAAAGATCAATTACAATTGAGTTATTTAGTACTATTGACATTTTATTCACGGACATACTCTAAATTCTTTCTATTTTTGTATATATCACCGCAGTTTCAAATGTTACAAAGATAATTAATTTCTTCTTTAAAAGCTTCTTTTGTCTGCAATAAAAAGGAGAAAGCGGTAGGTGCAAACAAAAGAGAGGAAGAGAAAATTACGTTCCCAATGTGAATAAACGTCCCTTTGGACATCTCGATCTCTTTCCGCTACTTATTTTCTGACACACTAACGGAACAGTTTTACTAGATATTCACGATGAAAGGAAAGAGAAATCGGAATAGAGCAGAGAGAAAAAAATTTAGTTTGAAGTAAAAATCGATAGCCTTTATCCCTAGAAAATTCATCTTCCTATCCCGTTTCGCAATTCTGTTATTTGCTATTTCATCAATAATTACAATTTTTTTATATTTCAAAAAGTAGAATCCAAATGAATTTCAAAAAATGAAATCTAAATAAAAAATACCTAGTAAATATTGAATTAGAAATCATGCAATGAATTATTCTTAAGCAACAACTATTAATTTTTGTGTTGTCAAAAGTTCATGGAGATGAAATTTACTAATCGATCCAACTGCAATCTGATAGCGTGACACGCTTCCGGAGGCTGATAGCAAAGTTTTTCGATTACAGGACACGATATTAAGAGAATAGCTATCTATACTCCTGAAGATGAGAAACTGATAATGAACTGTCCAGGATGTGAGGCTACAAGATGGCCCGAAGGGCAAGTACCAGCGGCTCGCAGGGTCTTTCGGTACGTATTATCAACGTTATCATACTTGATTGATCTGCTCAATTATTGTTAGGTAAATCAAGTCTTGATCATCCTAATTTGCATATTAATGAATTGATATGTCTAATCTAAATATTTCAGTAATTATATTTAAAAGTTTTGAATCATATTTGAAAAGTTTTTGATTGAGAATAATAGAATACTGAAAGTATTAGCACTGTTCACATATTTTCATTACGTCTGATCTCTCTCTTATTATTGCAATTCAGACTTAATAATCCAGAATAAGAATTGATGATCTTCTCGTGTCTAGCGAGATGTTATTTAATGAAATAATCGCCGTTATCTGTAGAGTATTTCGAATTATTACCGTCAAATATTTAGCTAGTTTCGACATGCATTTGACAATAATTCGACTGCAGATAATTACTGTTTGCAGCGAGTTAGTGTAAGGCATTGTACAGCAATAGCGATAGAAATTATAACATTGCGGAATAATAACGTGTTGAATTAATTTACACGCTCGTTCGATAACATTGTTCGATAATTCATCAAGCTCGAGGACGGCAGGTCGAGTGATCGAGTTTGTTCTTGTACGCAGATTACGAATGGTGACAGTGGCACCCGCCGCGTTCCTCGCTATCACTTGCATCGCCAGTGTCGGTGTTACCTTGGCGCTCGCTTTTCTAGCCTTTAATCTTCACTTTCGCAAGCACAAGTAAGTTCGATATTCAATACAAACTATGTATCCTCATGTAATTGATAAAGTAGAAAATATGGAAGAATATCTAAAATTCTAAGTGATACACTGAGAAAAATGTACTAAATTTTAATAAATATTTGTTTGAATACTAACTTAGCCCCTATATTTATGATATTTACTAAACAAAAAAGAACAAAATAAAATATTTACTAAACAAAAAGGAACAGTTGAATCAAGTTAATGGTTCTTGTATTAAATAATTATAAATTCGCATTTAATAAATATTCACCTAGGACTATTCAAACAAATATTTATTAAAATTTAGTACATTTTTTTCTCTCTCTACACTAAAAAAGTAGAAATATTCTCGAGAAAATTTTATGCATGACGTTTTTATCGATAATTATTGATTATAGAAAATTTGATGATGAAATATATATTTTTATATAAAATCTTATCAATCAATCGTAAAACTAAAATAAATGGTTTATTTGTTAGGAATAAAATTTTATTTTGCCGCGTTATTTAAATAAGGATTTAATTTAGTGAAATAAACATTGTATCTTAAAAATAAATTTTTAACTATTTTCTTCTCAGGGGATACTTTTTACAATATTCATGAACGCAATCTCCAAATATTTATTGATTATTCTTAAAAAAAGAAATTGATGAAATGATTTGAGTAAGTCTAGATACACATGACATTGTCGATTTTATGAATTAAAATAAATGAAGACAGCTTACTTGAAGATCGCACTTGCTAGATTTTCAAGAATCTATATGTAAAATTGTCTCGATACATCATTCAAGTCCATTATTCCTGGATATTGGCAGAAGCATAAAACTTTCAAGCCCGAGGCTGAATAATATGGCAGCCGTTGGCTGCGGCCTGGTCTACGGTGCTGTTATACTTTTGGGACTGGACGACGCCACGCTTCCCGACAGCGATGGTTATTATCCTACGGTGTGCAAGGTGATTAACATCTATTACGAAGGAATATTGCATCCTCGACGACGTGATCAATATTATCGGCGTCGATTTGATTTATATACGCATGTTAACGGTCATTAATGCTGGACACCTCTTGCATTATTGAAGGCGCATCCTTTTAAAACAAATCTGGGAATTTTTTATAAAAAAACTAATTGAAGTTGTTTGCAAAAAAGCGCAATTTTTTTACAAATTAAAATACGTAATAAGAACTGTAGTGTAGTTATTTATTTGTTATCCAGAATTGGTTTGGCAAACAAATATGCGATAATTGAAATTGCTTTTTTTACAAAATGCAATTATTATAAAATGCTCGTTCCTACAGTGTTTCGCTTGATTGCAATAAGTATTTCCTAAAAAAATAAGAATTAATATAAATATGCCATGCGTTTTTTATCCACAGGCAAGAGTGTATCTACTATCGGCTGGCTTCTCTCTAGCTTTTGGCTCGATGTTCACGAAGACTTATCGGGTACACAGAATCTTCACCAGAAGCCGAAGCGGAGTCGTCAAGAACAAGGTTAGTGACATGCAAGCAATTTTCCTTTCTCATTCGGTAAACATGTAAAACGATCTAACGCGAAACCGATATTTGTTTTTTCGAGGGGAAAAGAATACCGAAAAGTTATGCGTTTCCGCACGTTTGCAGAATCGATGCCCTGGTCAGACACATAAATCGCACTTATTGCTTCGTGCTTTACAGCTGCTCCAGGATACGCAGCTGATATTCTTGATCTGCATGCTCCTGGTGATCGATGTCGTCGTAGTGACCCTATGGGTAATTTTGGACCCGATGCAACGTCATCTACAAAATCTTACCCTAGAAATAAGCCCACAGGACCGAGGGGTCGTCTATCAGCCTCAGGTAACTGATATGAAATTCATGTCCGATTCGTTTCGCGCTCTCAAGCGAAGTACTCTGGCGACGACTGTGGCTCAAATGTCACGGTTATACCACAGGAACTATGTTAACGAGCTGCAACCAATTAATTCGTGTCTTTATTTACCTTTGCAGGTAGAGGTATGCCGTTCGCAGCATACGAACGGCTGGTTAAGCGCTCTCTACGTTTACAAAGGTTTATTACTCGTAGTCGGAGTCTACATGGCTTGGGAAACAAGGTGAGCTTAGGGATAAAGACATTTCCAAGTCCGCGGATACTGCATGAAAAGCAGGCCATCTCCCCCGATAATAGAGATAATCTATTGCATACTATATGCCGTTTTGAAAGCGAATCCACTATTAATTTCTCAAATATCTGTATCATTCCCACAGGAAATATTACTATAATCCTGCTTAGCTTATCTCTTGATTGAGTGTAAGCGATTTAAATAAAACAGTTCGCCGAGGCATTCCGTCATGTGATTCCGGTAGAGTTAACTATAATAAGTCAGATTGTATCGTTGAATGTCACCCAAAGAACACACAAATATCAACAAAAGATCAAAATGATTTTATTCTGACGCTTAAAGTCAATAAACAATTAAATTTTGTAATCAAAAAACATACCAAGTTAAGAGAAAGACAAAATAATGTCAAAATGACGATTTTTTTTTTGGAAAAAAAATCAGTTCGCACAGAGATACGCTATACATAAGTGAATGGCTTATGATTTCAGGCACGTAAAAATTCCAGCCCTAAACGATTCGCAATACATCGGTATGAGCGTGTATTTCGTGGTAATCACGTCGGGTATCGTCGTAGTGCTAGCCAATTTGATGTCCGATCGCGCGACCCTGGCCTTTGTCACGATCACTGCCCTGATTCTGGCCTCGACTACGGCGACCCTGACGCTTCTCTTTTTGCCCCAATTGGCGAATATCCTGGCAGGAGAGAGAGCCGATCCGGTCGTGCAAAGTCTTGGTCTCAAGATCGAATGCAACACACGTAGATTCGTCACTGACGACAGAAGGTAAATGTCTTTTCGATCTAAAACGTGAGAAAAAAAAATGAGAGAAGGGATAATAAAACTCCCTGATATCGTCCTATAAGTCGTCACTGCGGAAGATAATTGATGGGGCGAATCGATGGAATAGACTTCCAGATGCAATATTCTTTTATCTTATGGAAAGATAAGGATAAGAATTCCCTCACGTTCTTTCTGCGAATGCTGAAAGAGAAATCACATCACATCGCTCGATTTTATGATTACTCATTTTGCAAATGAAATATTCACGAAATTAAAAAGCAATTAATTGTTGCATTATTTGTTACTGAATAAACGTAGACCAATTCTCCCGAGGGATAATCTATCGCTTTAAAATTTACATGCATATATATGTATATATATATATATATATATATATATATATCTTATA